AGAATGTGTCATAAATGTTATCACAAGTCAATTAAATGCTAAAGGTTTAGAAAGTCCAAGGTTAGTGAGCTAATACTGTATACACAGGTTGATAAAATGTCCTATAGTCACTGAAACGTCACTGAAAAGCATTGGGTCATGGTTTGTAGTTATCTAGGATTTAGTACTGGTACCAAAAGAACATTCTATCTTTGAAAAAAAAAAAAAACTAGAATTCTTATTGGGTAGAAGAAAAATCATCATGCAAAAACTGTGTTTGAATCTGCATACCACAACCATGAAGTCTAGTGATGTTGGGAGGAATCTCTACCAGTGGTTCTGGATTCTGTAAATAGTACATGCAGGTTTGAAACCTTGTTCTTCATCATGAGGTTACCTTGTTTCCTGTATTACGGATGATCCAATTTCAAAACAGCAGTGTGGTATTTTCCCAAGTGAAGTGGATTTTGGGCAGCTGCAGTTTTCATACTCTCTCTTCCTCTCTGTAGTGCCTACCCCATCACCTAACTGCAACTTATACATAATCTATTATTTTGTAAATGGCGGAGACTTTACCTGTAATGACACAAATATTCTAGACTACATATAGATAAAATAAAGTAGGCTTTGGGTTTTGAATTGTTACTTAGCAAGTCGAACAGCTATTCAATCATTTAAGTATGACCTCTGCATTTTTTTTTTTGCAATGTAATTCCTATTGGGGAGATTTCCCTTCACTTTCTGTCCCAAAGTCAAAACACGAAGTAAAGGAATCCCTGGTTGTCATCAGCACCACCAGAACTAGTGTCCCCAGAAGATTTCTCCTCTATTCCTGTTCTGGAGACAACGCAAAAATACATTTAGCAATTTATTCAAAAATTCATAGTATATTACCACTTCAGCTCCGGAAGATTTACCCCTCTTGATGACCAGGCCATTTTTTGCGATATGGTGCTACGTTACTTTAACTGACAATTGTGTATTCCTTGCAACGCTGCACATAAATTAAATTTATGTCATTGTTTTCCCACAAATAGAGCTTTATTTTGGTGGTATTTGATCACTTCTTCATTTTTTATTTTTTTGTGCTATAAACAAAAAAAACTGACAATTATGAAAAAAAACAATATTTTTGACTTTTTGCTATAAAACATATCCAATTAAAAAAAAAAAAAAAATTTAATTTCTTCATAAATTTAAGTCAAAATGTATTCTGCTACATGTCTTTGCTAAAAAAAAAAAAAAAAAAAATCACAATAAGTGTATATTAATTGGTTTACATGAAAGTTATAGCGTCTACAAATTGCAGTATATACTAGAATTTTTATTTTTTTAATACTAGTAATGGAGGCAATCAGCAGCTTATAGCGGGACTGTGGTGGGCATCCTGACCGCCACTGACATCTCCAGTGACACTAATACAGTGATCAGTGCTAATAAAAAGCACTGACACTGTACTAATGACACTAGGCAGGAAAGGGTTAACATCTGGGGAGATCAAAGGGTTAACTGTGCTGTTTGTGTTTTACTGTGTAAACTGTGTGCTGTTTTACTAGGGAGACCTGCTGCTTTCTATCTCTCTGCTGTGCAGAGTGATAGAAAGCAGCACGTACAGGGAGAGAGCACGCAGCAAGTACAGGAGAGAGTTTTGTATTCTTTACACACAGATCTCTCCCCTCTCAGCTTTGCGAGGATCACTGAGTCCCGGCAGCAGTGCGGCCTCCCTGTAGCAATACATCTGCTACTGGGTGGTCTTGAAGTGGTTAAAGAAGTATGGACTTGGAAAAAAACAAGCATACATATTCACCTCAATGTTGCAGCATCAGTGTGATTCTGCATTTGTCCCTCATCTACTCTAAGACCGAGAACAGAGTAATTACATGACCACCGATTGCTATGCCCCTCACAATGGTCACTGCAGCACCAGGCTGGAGAGGGGCAAAACACAGCTGGCTTCAGCTGTCAGTCACGTTCTGAGAGCAAGAGCCAGCTGTCAATCAGGCAGCTGGGAGGATTCTGACAATATGGTCGAGGTCCTTCCAGATCCTGGAGCGAATCAGTCACATCAGCTGACAGCGGGCTTTAGCCCACTACAAGCTCACTATGGGTCACACCAGTGGTGTATTTAGGTTTCGTGCTGCCCTAGGCAACACAAACATTGGTTCTCCCACCCACTCACTGAGAGACCCTGACAATGAAAAACACCCCCTCCCCCATGATAAGAGCCTGACATTGACCAACAACACCCCACCTCAGCCCCACCCGAGAAAGCCTTCCACTACCACCGCCCCCTTCACACTGGCTACCCCTCCTACTCCAGTGAGAGAGAAGACTCTCGCCTTCACAGCTCCGGACATCCCCGGGAACATGAGTCAGGCTCTACATACACCATCAAGCAACCTGCAGCCTCTCTCAGATCCCACCTAGTTACCATGCTGCGTGTGTCCTTTCTTCCATCTCTTCTTTCAGTGCTGCCCCCCCTGAAAAATGCTGCTGCCCCCCTGAAAAAATGCCACCCTAGGCAAATGCCTTGTTTGCCTTGTGGTAAATATGCCCCTGGGTCACACGAGAGCAAAAGTAAGTGCACTCCTGTAGCCCAGAAGAGAAGTGTGGCATAAAAAGCTTTAGCCATACTTCTCTTTTTTAATGTGTGTCTTACAGTATATATCTGCTAGAAATTCAGCTTTAAATGAATATGACATCATAACTGGTAAAATGCCATAACTTGCTAAGACACTTTCTTGACTAGAACCTTGAAGAACCTGGTCTTGCTGAAAATCATTCAAGACACTGCCATTTTCCATAAAGGACAAGCCTTTGGACAGTCATCAATACTCTGATCTGGCCACCCAGATACTGAATACAAGAAGGGGGATAGTGCATGATATTACAGTTGTGTCCAAAATTATTCAACCCCCAATGCTGTAAAGGGGTTTAGGGACTATAGTGTACATTTGGAATTGTATTCAGAATCAAATCCTACAAGGACGTTGTAACTACCCAAATGCAACTAAAATGACATCAATTGTTTATGTAATACAGTAGTAAATGGTTCTTATGTGGTTTCTTCATTGCCACAATTATTCAACCCCTTAAAGACTACCACTCTGAAGAACAGAGGTTCATACAGGTGCTTTCCATCAGGTATTGAAAACACCTGTGGATGTCACCGAGCAGCAATCAAGCATAATAAGCACCAATTAGGCAGCTTTAAAATGACTGTGATACTCAGCTCCTTCTAGACATTTACTGGTGTGGTTACAAACATGGTGAAGGCAAGAGAATGGTCCAGGAAGACAAGAGAAGAGGTGATTTCTCTTCACAGGAAGGGCAATGGCTATAAGAAGATTGCAAAGATGTTAAACATACCAAGAGACACCTTAGGAAGCATCATTCGCAAATTCAAGGCAAAGGGCACTGTTGAAACGCTACCTGGTCGTGGCAGAAAGAAGATGCTGACTTCGACTGCTGTGCGCTACCTGAAGCGTAGAGTGGAGAGAAGTCCCCGTGTGACTGCTGAGGAACTGAGAAAAGATTTGTCAGATGTGGGTACAGAAGTTTCAGCCCAGACAATAAGACGCACACTGCCTCCGTGCCAGAACTCCCAGGCGTACCCCCTTGCTGTCTCCAAAGAATAAGAAGAGTCGACTGCAGTATGCCAAAAGCCATGTGGACAAACCACAAAAGTTGTGGGATAGTGTTCTGTGGACTGATGAAACAAAATTAGAACTGTTTGGGCCCATGGATCAACGCTATGTTTGGAGGAGGAAGAACAAGGCCTATGATGAAAAGAACACCTTGCCTACTGTGAAGCATGGTGGAGGGTCAATCATGCTTTGGGGCTGTTTTGCTTCTGCAGGTACAGGGAAGCTTCAGCGTGTGCAAGGTACCATGAATTCTCTTCAGTACCAGGAGATATTGGATGGAAACGTGATGCAGTCCGTCACACACCTGAGGCTTGGGAGACGTTGGACCTTTCAACAGGACAATGATCCCAAGCATACCTCCAAGTCCACTAGAGCATGGTTGCAGAGGAAAGGCTGGAACATTTTGGAGTGGCCATCGCAGTCACCAGACTTAAATCCGATTGAGAACCTCTGGTGGGACTTAAAGAAAGCAGTTGCAGTGCGCAAGCCTAAGAATGTGACTGAACTGGAGGCCTTTGCCCATGAAGAATGGGCGAAGATACCCGTAGATCGCTGCAAGACACTTGTGTCAAGCTATGCTTCACGTTTAAAAGCTGTTATAACTGTAAAAGGATGCTGTACTAAGTACTAAGATTGAATGTCACTTGGGGGTTGAATAAAACTGATAATGCTGTGAGCACAGAAAAGACATTTGTGGTTATTTCATTATAACTGTTATGTTATATTTGTCTGACCTACAAGTGCCTCTTTAATGTAAATGTAAGCAAGATGACTGAATGATCAAAAGCAATGTCAAACTGGCCAAAACACTCAATTTCAGTGGGGGTTGAATAATTTTGGACACAACTGTATATTTGAAAAAAGATGGAGAAGGATTAATTTCAAAAAGTAAATGTAAAAAGATGGTAACAATAGAGGATCATACTAAAAGCAGTAACAGTCATTGCATCTTGAATAAGCTTTGCAATCTTACAGTACCAAGACATTTAAAAACTGACACACACTTCTACACATTTGTTTACAGAATTTTAATTCTTCAAGAATTACTGACCAACGCAAACTGATTATACAATAAGATTCTACGATGGTTACTCCCTTTAACAAATGCTGAATTTCAGTGATTTGCATTTGATTTTTGGTTGAAGACAATGAGCCAGTTGGAGTTTGTAGATCCAGTAGGATAGGATGGGAAATTGGATCTGTTTAAATATAGCACATATGGATATAGGCAATAGGCAAAGTAAGACAACACAAAAGGCAGGGATTTCATGCTGAAAGAAAACTGAGGACTTTCAGCACAGTTCTGATTTGACAGCTAGATTTGTAGGTTATTTTCAAAAGGCACTGCATCTTCATTCACACCATCTCTAAGATCTAACAGTGGCAGCAGCTTGGCTTAGGAGTACATTCTGGGTTACAGCATGGCTTTAGCGAAGGATCCGTGCCTTTGTTGGGCTCACTTGGTGCATAATTCATATTCGTATGGAACCTGTCACGCTCATTCAGGATTTCAGTCAAGATAGGTTCCAGGTCTTTGGGGATGAAAGGCTTTAACAAGTTGTAGTTCTCTGCAGGATCCTTATCAAGATCAAAAAGGAGAGGTGGGTTATGTTCAGTCAACAGTGCTGTTATATGGCAGTCTGGATCTGGAGTTGTCTCACTATGAAATGCGCCTTTGTGAACACAATAAAAACAAACAAAACAAATACTTTAATTATAATAATAATGCATGGAATTCTCACAAAAATTTGATAACTTGGTATCTGATTTTATTATAAGTGCGTTTTTTTTTTTTTGTAAATATTTTAAATGCCACCTATTGTTTTCATACTTTTAGGACCAGTGCATTTTGTAATGCTTAAGCCAAGGCAAACATTTTGCCTGTTTGGCATGGCTAATTAAAGTGGAGCTAAACTGTATCTGATTCCCACTCACTACCTTTAAATATGCCATCTCTACGCCTCCTTTTCATATTACTATCCTGCGTTCCCAAAATCTCCTTTCCTTACCCCTCTGCTCCACCCCAAAGATTACACATCTCACCCTCACTGCTACTATCTCCCTACTACTGCTCTCATCACCTCCTGCTGATACTTCACTCTCCTGCTGACCCAAACACCAGGACAGGAAGACATGTACACTCATATACATCCCGCTCCCATCTTACTTTCCTCACCCTTCTTCTTCTCCTAACCTCTGGGGATATCGCCCTGGTCCTCCAGTATCTCACCCCCACACCAGCCACCCTCTTTCCTCCAGGAATAGCCACAATCCCCTCAATTTACTATCATTCCCCATGCTCCCAAAAACCACCCTCCCTTTTTCAAGTGCGTTCTGGAATGCCCACTCTGTCTGTAATAAGCTCACCTCTGTCCATGACCTTTTTGTCTCCCGCTCCCTTATCCTACTAGCAATTACAGAAACCTGGCTTCAAGCAGCAGATTCTTCTCCTCCCGCAGCACTTTCCTATGGAGACCTTCTCTGGACCCACTCACCCAGACCCAGTGGTCGGAAAGGAGGTGGAGTTGGTTTGCTTCTATCCCCACTGAGCACTTTTCAAGTCCTTCCTAACCCTCCCTCTCTATGTTTCTCTTCTTTCGAGACTCACTGCATTTGGCTGTTTTCTCCCATTTCTCTGAGGATTGCAGTGATCTATCGGCCTCCTGGACCAGTGTCCCGCTTTCTTGATTTATCCGCCTGGCTACCCTACTTTCTCTCCTCTGAACTACCCACTATCATTCTTGGAGATTTTAACATCCCCATTAAATGTCAACAACCCGGCTACATCCCAACTCTTCAACCTAACCTCATCTTTTGCATTAGAACAATGGACACAGTCCTCCACTCACTCTGATAGGAATACATTAGACCTTGTTTTCTCCCATCTTTGCACTCCCTACAACCTCACAAACACCCCCTTTCCTCTCTCTGATCACAATCTCATCACCTTCACAGTGTCCTCATCTTCAAACACGTATCCCTCCAAGCAGCAAACAATTACCTGCAGAAGCCTTCACAACTTGAACCCTGCTGCTTTCCACTCTGCAACTGACCAACTCTATGACAGAATCTCTCCCCTGTCCTGCCCTCACCTGGCCACTACCGTCTACAACAGTTTTCTTTCATCCACACTAGACTCACTTGCTCCCCTAACACCACGAAGCATCAGGCCCCAACCGTTACAACCTTGGCAGACTGATGACACCAGAAATCTTAAACGACATAGTCGCTGGAGCGATTGTAGCGTAAAAACCAAATCTTACCAAGCATTCACCCTATATAAATCTGCTTTCTTAACATACAATTCCTCCCTCCATGCTGCCAAACAAGCCTACTTTGTCACTCTCATCAATAGCTTATCATCCAGTCCTCGTTGTCTCTTCTCTACTTTTAACTCTCTTTCTCCACCTTCACCTCCACCCAGCACCTCACTCACTACTCACGAGATTGCAAATCATTTCAAAAGCAAGATTGATGCAATTCGTAGGGTCATCGCCACTGCACAGACATCTATCCCCCTTATACTAAACCTCCCTCAACACTTTCCTCTTTTGACCTTGCTACTACCGAAGAGGTTACTAAAGTTTTCTCAGAAGCCCGTCTCACTACCTGCCCCCTGGATCCTGTCCCCTCACAACTACTACGGTCACCCTCTTCATCCGTTCTATGCTCCCTCACTCACATCTTCAATCTCTCTCCCTCTCTACTGGTGCCTTCCCCTCCCCTCTAAAGCATGCGCACATCACTACCATACTTAAAAAGCCCTCTCTGGACCCCACCAACCTGAACGACTTAAGACCCATCTCTCTACTCCCGTTTACCTCTGAACTCTTAGAACGCCTAGTCTACAATCGCCTGAGCTCCTACCTCCCTGACAACAACCTTCTTGACCCTTTACAGTCTGGCTTTCGCTCACTATACCCCACTGAAACTGCCCTATTAAAACTCACTAATGATCTAATAACTGCTGAAACCAATGGCCACTATTCCGTACTCTTACTACTACTCGACCTATCTGCAGCTTTTGATACGGTTGACCATCTCCTCCTCCTCAAAAAACTCCACTCTATTGGCCTCTGAGACTCTGCTCTCTCCTGGTTCTCCTCCTACCTATCACAGTGCTTCTTCAGCGTTACTTATAACTCTGGCTCCTCCTCTTCACTCCCTCTTTCTGTAGGGGTCCCTCAAGGTTCCGTCCTTGGGCCCCTACTCTTCTCCATCTACAGCTCCTCCCTTGGTCACTTGATAAACTCCCATGGCTTTAAGTACCATCTCTATGCTGATGACACACAAATCTATCTTTCTACTCCTCACCTCACCCCTTCAGTCTCCTCTAGCATTACTAACCTCATATCGGCATGGATGTCTCTCCACTTTCTCAAACTCAATCTTTCCAAAACTGAGCTCTTAGTATTCCATCCAGCCCGTGCCCCCTCCCCCCTAACTTCTCCATCAAAATCAATAACACAATCATCAGTCCCTCCCCTCATGCCAGGGTGCTAGACTCCCATTTGTTCTTTCAGCCCCAAATCCAATCACTGTCCAAATATTGTAGACTTCACCTCCGCAACATCTCCAAGATACGGCCGTTCCTAACCTCGTAAACCACTAAGCAACTTATTCACTCCCTTGTTATATCTCACCTTGAATATTGTAGCTCCCTCCTCATTGGCCTACCTAATCGCAGGCTATCCCCTCCTCAGTCTATCATAAATGCTGCTGCCAGACTCATCCACCTTACTAACCATCCTGTATCAGCCACCCCTCTCTGCCAATCCCTCCACTGGCTTCCCGTTGCCCAACGGATAAAATTCAAAACATTCACAATAACATATAAAGCCATTTATAACTCTGCCCCAAATTACATCAGCAATCTTGTCTCCAAATATCACCCAAACCGTACTCTCCACTCCTCGCACGACTTCCTGCTCTCTAGCTCCCTTGTCTCCTCCTCCCATGCTCATCTCCGGGACTTCTCCAGAGCTTTCCCCATCCTCTGGAACGCTCTACCCCAATTTATCAGACTATCGCCTACTCTGCTCACTTTTAGGCGATCTCTGAAAACCTATCTCTTCAGGGAAGCCTATCCTGCCCTCAGCTAATAATGGAATCTTCTACTCTTCCTACCAGTCCATCCCCCACAGTTACTACCTCTTGTACCACTAACCCCTCCCTCCTAGATTGTAAGCTCCAAGGATCAGGGCCCTCCTATCCATCTTTTATTGAACTGTATTGTCTCCCTTTATATTGAAAAGCGCTGAGCAAACTGTTGGCGCTATATGAATCCTGTATAATAATAGTAGTATCTGAACTACACAAGCTAAAAACACTATTTACGGTAATTCATTTTTCTGTTTCAGTGTTTTTATTAAAGTTTTAATCACTCATTCATCCACGTCTCCATGCAAAAGTGGCAAGGCTCTAACTAAAGCGGCAGCCAAACAATTATCTATAAGCATAGGTAATGCGGAATCAAATTGCCTGGTGACTTAATGTCTAAGCTGAAGGTATTGGAGGAGCACAGAATTTGTCAATTGTATGGATTTTTGATTCTTAGGTTAGTCCATATATACATATTTCAAAAACCCTTGGACTAGTTAATATATTGTACATTCACATCAGTCCCTAATGCTGAAGCGCTGAGTAAACTGTTGGCGCTATATAAATCCTGTATAATAATAATAGTAGTAGTATCTGAACTCCACAAGCTAAAAACACTATTTACGGTAATTCATTTTTCTGTTTCAGTGTTTTTAGGTCCGTACCTCACATTCATACATACACATACTAGGGCCAGTTTAGACAGGATCCAATTAACCTACCAGTATATCTTTGGAGTGTGGGAGGAAATCGGAGTACCTGGAGGAAACCCACGCAGGCACAGGGAGAACATGAAAACTCCAGGCAGGTGGTGCCGTGGTTGGGATTTAAACCAGAAACCCTAGTACTGCCATTTTCAGTGGAATTAGCACAAAAATTTATAAGCAGCTGATGGTCATGGAAAGCTACAAGACATGTATGAGTGACTTCCTCTATCTTTGACTAACCTATTTATGTATGGAGTGTATTTTGGTGGCAGGTAGTGTAGTGTATTTTTCCACCAATAGCGACCCTTTTTCCTGGGTACCGCTGCTCACACTTTGACCCAGGTTGAGGCTTGGCCCTTTTTATGTAGTCTGGGCCTTGTTCTGGCCCTACGTCAGTGGCGCTACCCTTCATGCGCTGAAGGCGTGAAGTCATTCTGCCTTTAGGGGCGGAGTCACACTGCACATCGCATCTGCCGGAGGGTGTGCCAATGAGCCGGGACTGGTCTCCCATGCAGTCCTTAATTGTGTGGGCCCCCTATTGGCTGCATTTCAATCCTCCATGTGCTGGATTTGCTTATTATCAGATTTCTACTTAGACTATATAAGGCTGTTTCACTTTACCACGTTTGCCTGTGCTGCACATAGACACACCATCGTGCCTCTCTACATATTTATATATTATCAAGAAAAGGTATGCTATCAGCCATCACTCTATATTACAACAATTTATTTCAATCTTTGCCGCTTTACTAGATGTAGTTCTCTTTGTTTTAGACCACAAAGCCCTGGTTTGGTGAGGAACACCGCAGCCATCTTTAATCTACCATCGTATATATATAGTGGGCCTCTTCACCCAGGACTATTGTAGTAATTTCAGAATAAGTCTTCTTCCACTGAATGCTCTTTGGGTATATGTATACACTTTGGTGTTTGTACAAGCTCTACAATAGACTACGGTTTCTTAATATAGGTTATCTTTAATATCATTAGATATAACTAAGCCCTAGGTGACTGAATTATATACATTTATATTGAGATATTATTAAATTCTACAGCATGGATGTGGTTCCCATTCCTGGCCCCTTATAGTGACCCCAGTGGCATTGGCGGACATTGGTGTACCCAAACAACATCTGTCTTCAGCACTTCTGTATAACCTTCATTGTTCTTTTAAAATGCTTATGTGGTTATATTAAACAAGCTTAAATTTATGGGTCAGTATTTTGAGATATTTTTTATGTCCATGTGCGGCATGTTTGTCTAATCTGTTATTAAGATGTTAATGTGTATTATTCTTACATTATAGAATATATTTATAGTCATGTATTGCATCCCTGAAGACGAGAAGTTCTAATCTCGAAACGCGTTGGTTGTATGACTATCAAACTGACTATGCACAGTACTCTATATGCAACCTTCTGTAACCATGCTTGTTGAATACTAAGATTCATTTTTAATCATTTTGTATCAATAAACCATTGTGCTTTTTAGAAAATGTTTTTGACTTTGACACCTTGGCTCATTGATCAACGCTGCCCTTTAAACTCCCACTTCTAGGGGAAAATAATTTTTTACTTTGTCTGCAAGAGTACCGTTCTTTTCAATTGTTATTAATAGTGTGTAGTGAACAACTGGCAGACACATCCACTGCCTACCAACACTGTCCAACAACATAGTCATTGATATAAAATAAAGCAGCCTATACTCACCCTGCGTATAGAAGTGGGCCTTGTATTTTCCCATTCTCAGAGCATGAATGCCACGCTTTGAATCGATACTAGGTGGGTAGTAATAAAAGGTGTTCCTTGGACTCTAAAAGGAAAAAGATGCAAGGAAAAAAAAGTGTTGGCAGGATTCATGTTCATTTAATACTGCATCACATGACTTCAATTCCTAAGTATGGCAAATCTAGTAATAATAAGCAATTAAAAACATCTAATTAGAAAAGGATTATATTAAGAGTCTCATTATGACAGTTGAAGGTTAAAAAAAAAACACATTTTCCTGAAATTCATTGAAGTTACCCGTAAAGGCATTTAAATCCTACATGCATGTCTTTTAAGTTCCAACCTTTCCTAACATGAGTCAAAACTAGTGGTGCACCGAAATGAAAATTCTTGAACCGAAACCAAAACATCAAAATGCATTTGGCCAAAAAACCAAAACTGAAATGGACAGTTATTTAAAAAAATGTTTAAAGAACAAAAACAAACAAAAATATATAATTGTATTGCATTCGACATTTTAATTATCATCATGAATTTAAATGAAGATTAATTTATTTTCAGCACTTTTTGGCCACTAGGCTGCTTTTTTGCAGTTTTTGCAGTGCTTTTGCACTAAAAAAAGGCACAAGAAAAGCTCAAGAAAAATGCATCCTTTTAAATTCAATGTATGTCTTCACATTGGTCTGTTGCGCTTCCCTTGCAGTGTTTAGAATCCTACTTGCTGCATATTTGGCGAGTTAAAAAAAAGCGCACCTCCCCATTGAGGCATGGTTCACACTAATGGGTTTTTTAGGGCTTTTTGCAGAGACACACTACAGTCCATTTAACCTGGTTTTCTATGGGACACATTCACATCTATGATTTTTTGAGCTACTGTGTTTTTGGAAAGGGTCAGGAACTTTTATAACCACAAAACGTTGCGTTTTTGGTTCAATAGACTTAAATAGAGATGCTGCAGAAAATGTATGTAGTGTGTTTTTGATGCATTTTCACATGTTTGCTGTGTTTTTAATCTGCCCAGCAACAAATTGGCAAAAATTTTTTTAAAAAGTGTCAAAAACACCTGCAAAAACTCAAAAGGCACTACAAAAAGCATTGAAAAACAAACAAAACACTAACTGCCTTGGTGTGAACCAGTCCTGAAATGCAATGAAAATGCATTACACGTGTTGCGCTTTTGATGCACTTTGCATTCTTAATCTGCTCAGCAACAAGTTGGCCCAAAAAAAAAATATTAAAAAACACAATACGCATCAAAAAACACATTAAAAACATGCGGGCAAAAAAGAAAAATGCACTGCAAAATAGAAAAAAACGCAAACTGCATTGGTGTGAACCAGGCTTGAAATGCATTGAAAACACATAAAAAAAACGCATAAAAAAAATTAAAAAAAGCAAAATAAATAACAAAATGCGTCAAAAACGTGCATGCAAAAATGCACCGCAAAACGGACAAAATGCAAACTGCATAGGTGTGAACCATGCCTGAAATGCATTCAAAAAACCCATGTGTTGCATTTTGATGCGCTTTTTTGAGTCACATGGTGGGTAAAATCGCGCATTTTCAGCGTCCAATATTGCCACCTTTTTTCCTATTGGCAAAATGCTGATAACACTATATTCGGCTTTATAAATACGTTATAAACATTATAAATACCTTTCCCTGTTTTCTGTGATCAAATACCCTTTAAACTTCTTATGCAGCTGAGAATAGAGATCTGGGGTTGGAGAAAGAGCAGCACACTGATCTTCCCAGTGAATGACTGTGCAGGGGTGGGATGTTTGAGCACAAGCCTGATCATTGGAATTTGCAGACTGAGTTCCCAGCACAGCTAGAGAACTGACCATGCTGTGCTCTCATGCCTAGTGTGGTCAGTGTGTAACAGGGAAGCAGAGGGACTTGCAGGAACACCAGGGATTTCAGATAAAAGAACAGGATACACTTTCATACAAGTACATGGTACAGTAGGCACATATCAGGAATATGAAATCAAAGAATCCAGAACTTCAATATTGGCCCGGGAGCCTGAAGAACAGCAGCCTCAGTGTTCTGGAAAAGATCAGAACCCTGACAATAACTACTCTCCAGTAGATCAGAACCAGCCAGAACCAGGGAGCTTCCAGAGTATGTAACCAGGACATTGAGAAGATGCCTGAGTGCAGCATCTGTCTACTGGAGATAGAAGAGGAAGCTGAATCCACCAGAATACCCTGCGGTCACCAATTTCAAACTGACTGCATTACAAGGTGGATGCAGGAGAGCAGAATCTGTCCACTCTGCCAGCATGGGGTCGCTCACTATGTATGGGTAAGTGTCATACATCTGTTTTTCTGTATTTTCTATCACTCTTACTATTTCTGAGTAAAAGTGATTATTATTATTATTATAATTAGAGATGATGAGCGAATCGAACCAGGCGAAGTGGAATTCGTTTCAAATTTCAGGAAAAATTTGATTCGCGGCGAATCCGAATATTAGCATACTTCGGGTGCGCGAATCGGATTTTTCCCGATCAGCCGGCAAAAGTGTTCCTGCAGAGAGCTCCGCTATTTCTGACAGTTCTCTGACAGTTCCTTCACATGTACAGCGGTTGAAACATTGTATCTATTTGTTTCCATTTAGGATACAGATGTTTTTATTCGGAAATAGATACAATGTTTCAACCGCTGTAAATGTGAAGGAACTGTCAGAGAACTGTCAGAAATAGCGGAGCTCTCTGCAGATACACTTTTTGCTGTACTGGAATACTTCTTCTTCATTTTTCATTCTTCTTTTCATTCTTCTTCTCATTCTTCTTCTCATTCTTCTTCTTCTTTTCATTCTTCTTTTCATTCTTCTCATTCTTCTTCATGAAAAGAAGAATGAGAAGAAGAATGAAAAGAAGAATGAAAAGAAAGAATGAGAAGAGAAGAAAAGAAGAATGAAAAGAAGAAGAAGAATGAAAAGAAGAATGAGAAGAAGAATGAGAAGAATGAAAAGAAGAATGAAAAGAAGAAGAAGAAGAATGAAAAGAAAAAGAAGAATGAAAAGAAGAATGAAAGAAGAATGAAAAGAAGAATGAAAAGAAGAATGAGAAGAAGAATGAAAAGAAGAATGAGAAGAATGAAAAGAAGAATGAAAAGAAGAATGAAAAGAAGAATGAGAAGAAGAATGAAAAGAAGAATGAGAAGAAGAATGAGAAGAATGAAAAGAAGAATGAAAAGAAGAATGAAAAGAAGAATGAAAAGAAGAAGAAGAAGAATCTTTTCATTCTTCTTCTTCTTTTCATTCTTCTTCTTTTCTTCTTTTCATTCTTCTTCTTCTTTTCATTCTTCTTTTCATTCTTCTTCTTCTTCTTTTCATTCTTCTTCTTCTTCTTTTTCTTTTCATTCTTCTTCTTCTTCTTTTCATTATTCTTTTCATTCTTCTCATTCTTCTTTTCATTCTTCTCATTCTTCTTTTTCATTCTTCTTTTCATTCTTCTTCTTCTTCATTCTTCTTTTTTCATTCTTCTTTTCTTCTTCATGAAAAGAAGAATGAGAAGAAGAATGAAAAGAAGAATGAAAAGAATGAAGAAGAATGAAAAGAAGAATGAGAAGAATGAAAAGAAGAATGAAAAGAAGAATGAAAAGAAGAATGAAGAATGAAAAGAAGAAGAAGAAGAGAAGAAGAATGAGAAGAAGAATGAGAAGAAGAATGAAAAGAAGAATGAGAAGAAGAATGAGAAGAATGAAAAGAAGAATGAGAAGAATGAAAAGAAGAATGAAAAGAAGAAGAAGAATGAAAAGAAGAAGAATGAAGAAAAGAAGAATGAAAAGAAGAAGAATCTTTTCATTCTTCTCATTCTTCTTTTCATTCTTCTTCTTCTTCTTTTCATTCTTCTTCTTCTTCTTTTCATTCTTCTTTTCATTCTTCTTCTTCTTTTCATTCTTCTTCTTTTCATTCTTCTTCTCTTCTTTTCATTCTTTTTTTCATTCTTCTTCTTTCTTTTTTTTCTTTTCATTCTTCTTCTTCTTCTTTTCATTCTTCTTTTCATTCTTCTTTTCATTCTTTTTCTTCTTCTTTTCATTCTTCTTTTCATTCTTCTTTTCATTCTTCTTCTTCTTTTTCATTCTTCTCATTCTTCTCATTCTTCTTTTCTTCTTCATGAAAAAAGAAGAAGAATGAGAAGAAGAATGAAAAAGAAGAATGAAAAGAAGAATGAAGAAGAAGAATGAAAAGAAGAATGAAAAGAAGAAGAAGAATGAAAAGAAGAATGAGAAGAAGAATGAAAAGAAGAAGGAGAAGAAGAATGAGAAGAATGAAAAGAAGAATGAGAAGAATGAAAGAAGAAGAAGAATGAAAAGAAGAAGAAGAAGAATGAAAAGAAGAAGAAGAAGAATGAAAAAAGAAGAAGAATGAAAAGAATGAGAAGAAGAATGAAAAGAAGAATGAAAAGAAGAATGAGAAGAATGAAAAGAAGAAGAATGAAAAGAAGAATGAGAAGAAGAATGAAAAGAAGAATGAGAAGAATGAAAAGAAGAAGAAGCAGAATGAAAAGAAGAAGAAGAAAAAGAAGAAGAAAAGAAGAAGAATCTTTTCATTCTTCTCATTCTTCTTTTCATTCTCCTTTCTTCTTTTCTTTTCTTTCTTCTTCTTTTCATTCTTCTTCTTCTTCTTCTTTTCATTCTTCTTCTTCTTCTGAGGATGAGGATGAAGAAGAAGAAGAAGAAGAAGAAGAAGAAGTAGGATGAAAATAAGAAGAATTCCAAGCCGGCAAAAAGTGTATCTGCAGAGCTCCTCTATTTCTGACAGTTCTCTGACATTCACATTTACAGCGGTTGAAACATTGTATCTATTTGTTTCCATAAATGGAAACAAATAGATACAATGTTTCAACCGCTGTAAATGTGAATGTCAGAGAACTGTCAGAAATAGCGGAGCTCTGCAGATACACTTAGCGGAGCTCTGCAGATACACTTTTTGCTGGCTTGGAATTCTTCTTATTTTCATCCTACTTCTTCTTCTTCTTCATCCTCATCCTCAGAAGAAGAAGAAGAGGATGAGGATGAAGAAGAAGAGTAGGATGAAAATAAGAAGAATTCCAAGCCGGCAAAAAGTGTATC